TGAGGCAAGACAGGAAGGCGACTGCTTCACTGTCTGTCAGGATGGAATATTAAGCCCTGGGATTCAGCAGTGAATTAATTTCATCCCTCTGACAATTCTTAAAAAGATTAGTGTATCTATCTTCTCTGTATGGTTCATGTAAATTTTGCCTGGAAGTGGAGGGAGTTTCTAAAGGCACTATGATTTTTTCTTTTTTTTTTTTATGATCACAAAAAGGCCACCTTTTTAAATTGACAACTCCATCTCTACATACATTAATTATTGCACAAATTATAAGTGGATCGACAATTATATTAATACAAACTCATGAGGGTAAAGCTACTGCTCTAGGTCTTGGTGCATTTTGTGCCAGGCATTTTAGTAAATATGACAAACATCAAGGAACTCAGCTACCTCAATTCATAAGAATCAGCTTTCAGAAAGGGCCTGTGTGTCATCTCATAAAACACATAAAAATATGTGAAACCCAGGAAAATAAAAAACTAAATGACAAAAGAAGGAATACTGTTAAAGAAAAATTGGTGATAAAAATGTTAGGTTAAAATATTAGGTTTAAAAATTTTAGCAATTGGACTTAGGATCCAGAAATTACATGTATATTGGGAATTTTAGGAAGACTACTCCTATGTCTGCTTCACAATTACTACTACATTCCAAACGGGCATCTCTGGGTTGCTACAATGTCTTTCCTGCTTGTAAACCCTGCCTCCTAGTTCAGAAGAAACATGGTAATTCACAGACATGGGTTTTAAAATAAGATTCTTCTCACTCAAAATAAAAGTATGACCTCCATCAAATTACACAGAAATCTTATTGAAATGTCAGAGAAGCCAGACCCATTTACCTTCGCTGCCTGCCTCAGAGCAGCAGGCTGTTGTGGCGCCTGCAGAGGAGAGGGGGAGGTGAGCAGTCCTTGCTCTGCAGTGTGCAGGTGGAAACTGATTTTTTTAATAAAGGGAAAATTGATGTAAATTCATGTGAAAGACAGCAGGCCCATTCCTACACTTCGAGTTAATACAGGAATTGCACCGTGGGGCAGGATGGATATTATCCCTTACACAGTTAGCCCAGTGAAAGACCTAACTAGGAATCACACAGAGACGGATGACACCAGGGTTAATGACAAACCTTCAAACTTCTAAGTAGAAGTGGTAGAACTGAGGTTTACCTGCTTGTGTGTTAATTGGAGAGCCAGCATGGTCTCCTTGGGAAACAAGGGGATGGGTTAAGTGTTTGGGCTTTTGGGCCTAGGAAAACCATTGAGCACCGCCTCTTGAGACTGCCTGGAGGTGTGGGGAATAGGGGAATAGCCTGTTAACCCTCCTGTTTTTCAGGACATAGCCCTGAGGCATATTCAGGGTGTTGGGATAGATGTCTACAGCTTATGCTTCACTGCTTCACTCCCTCTCCTCCACAGTTTATCAAGGATTTATTAAGTGCCGTGTGTATGCCAGGCATCATCTTATACTATAACCCCTTCCTCCATCTGCCTCTGTTCCTGTAGCATAATGGAGGGCAATGAAAATCATAAAAATGTCAATAAGACAAATGTTTTGCATTTTGTCAGGAGAAGTAGGGAAGGAAAGTGTGGAAGGAGGGAAAGAAGCAACAATTCCTGCAGGATCTCAGCACACACGACAGTTTCCAAA